AACAAAGGAGGAGGCTACAATGCTTGATAAGAAATGTACTCATTATCTTGCCCATGTAATTGTAACGCCTCTGTACAGTATTTTCACAATAAAAAATAAAAATTAAAAAAAAGAAAATTTAAAAAAAGATACATCAAGCTATTACCCACAGTATTCAAGCAGCTTTTCCCACTTTTGATCAGACTACCTGAAAACATGAGGAAAATTCTTTTGAAGGCAAAACATAAGCATTAACTAGCATGTGTGAAAATATAAAAAAACACTCTTACATTTTCAACTTGTCTCAGTTCTTCCTCATGCTGATTAAAGATGTCCTCCCATCTGCGTTGGCGCCTTCTTCTGCGGGCTTCTACATCCTCAATTTCAAGCTCTTCAGGTCTCCGTAATGACTTTGCCCTAAACCTTTTTGGTGAAAGTCTTTTTGCTAATGCTTGCCTCAGACTAGAAACTTTTGATTTTTTCTTCCTGGTTGGTTCTGGTTGAGTGTAAAATATGTTTGATGAGAGGCATTCCATCAGGGTTTGCAGTGGACCAAGTGGCTTCGAGTTACTTGCGTTTGGTGCTCGAAGCAAGTCTCTTGAGAGTCCTTCTATCAGAGCTTGAACTGACTCAACTGCCTGTGAGGTCTCTAGTGCCCAGGCCTGTATCTGCGGTGACCCTTCATTTCCCTCCCCTACTGGAATGAGCACCTGAGTATCTAAATGTAGTGGCAAGAGAACATGGTGGTTCTGTGAGAGTAGGGGCAGGAACACTTGGGCATGTACTAGTAATGTCTCAGGTGCCTGAGCCTCAACCTCAGCCTGTGCAGGCTCAGCAGCCTGTTCCTGTACCTCTGGCTGTTCAGGTGCTTGGTTCTGGTCCAGATGCTGTTCAGGGAGATGGTTCTGCCCTTGCCGTTGTTCAGCAGCCCGGCCCTGTCTTTGTGGTTGTTCAGGTACCTGATTTTGCCCCTGAAATTCCTCTGGCACCTGGTCCAAATCTTGTGGCTGTTCTGATGCTAGGGCTTGAACCTGTGTACATTCCTGGGCCTGGGCCTGAGCCTGTTCTGGAAGGGCCTGTTCCTGTTCCTGGGCCTTAGCTTGTTTCTTTTCCTGGGTCTGAGCCTGTTGTTCTTTGGGTATGGAGCTCTCTTTCTGTGAAGGCCTAGCCATCTTGCCCTGAGCCTGTAGTGGCATGATCATGCCAGATAGCTTCCGTAGTCGTGGAGGTGCCTTGATCTCCATGTGTAGAGGCCTAAATGCCTTACACTTCACCTGACCTTGTAGTGGCATGAAAACCCTAGCTGCCTTTTGTAATCGTGGAGGTGCCTGCACCTGATTCTGTAGAGGTCTTTGTGTACTGTCCTGTGCCTGTATGGGCATGAACACTCTAGCTGCCCCTTGTAGTTGTTCAAGTGCCTGGACCTGTGGCTCTTCTTGATCAGGTAACCACCTCGGTTGAGATGGTTCTCCATGCAGGACTCTAAGTGGTCTGCATCTGCTGCTGGTTGGTATTTTTAAAAGTTCATGAGTGCAAGAGGGTCCTCTGAAATAAACATACAAATGATTGTCATACAATTAGTTTTCAGTGGAATAGAGCCATCCAGAAGAATTGCTGTCACTTTAAAAAATGGGCCTTTTTCTTTTTTGCAGAAAGGATATTTCAGTAATTTTTCTGGATTAGTTCCTATAATGTCTGAAATAGCCTGCAGATAATATTTATAATAATAATACAGTAAATTGTTAATGGAGTCTGATAATCTATTGATCATATTGTTGCTACATATTAAGCAGGCTTTGGCTAGTATTTTTTTCAGTATTTTCCCTCAATATCTCATGGAAATAGATATCTGTTATTTTATATATTGGTAAGGATTAAGTTATTCTAATAGAAAAACAACAGTATGGAGGCAAGTACTTTATGTAAATTGCTATCATCAAACTATATAGAACATTTATTTAACTCACCTGAATCTTCTCATGGTGTATTGCTCCTTAATAGCTTCTCTTTCAAAAACCAAAGGGATCCCTTTTATATGAAAGAGAAAGAGTCAGCAAAGGTGGATTTAATTCACCATAGTCACTTCATCCTGCAATTATCAGGATGTAAAGTAGATTCATAAGGGCAAAAAGGTAGCCCTTCAAATGGTATGGTGATGCAAACAGTATTCTATGCCTACAATAGTGTATTTCAAGAGGATTCATTTCTATGGTCATTGGAAAGAAAATGTGCAATCTACTAGCTTCAGTTATAAAGAGAGAGAAAAGGGAATGGGGAAAATGGTGAATGGAACAAAAACACAGACTTTATGGCTTAGGATTAAAAACTTAATTCTGGATATTACATTTATTACATTTAAAACATTCAGCCTCTTTTCTATCAGTTGTGCTGCTACTATTGACAAATAGAGGCTTGTAAATTTATGAGCTTCTTTTGAGTTTTCTATATGAAAATGAATATGACAACTATATTTATATATTTAGCATAAAGGTCTTGTAAATAGGAACTTTTCCTGCAGGTATCATTGTGGAAATCTTATAGCTCTGGATATTAGGCCCATGTGTGGTTTTTCTGCATTCATTATGGACTAGCTTGTGTCTGTGATGTACTTCCAATACTTCTATCATCAGAGGTATATTAATGTTATTCATTTGAAAACATGATGTGTATAGTTTTGCACATGGAAAAAAATCCATCACACACACACACACACACACATACAAGACAATAAAAGAGTGAATTTTGCTTTCATCTGAAAGCTCATTCCAGTGATATTAAACTCCACACATTCACATTCTACCTTTTTTCTCTCTTTTCTTAATGATTCCAGTAAGATGCTTTGTTAATGACTCCACAACATGCCGCTCATGTTTTATACTGCGAACAAATGGGTGCTGAAGCATGTTTGCAGAAGTAGGACGAAACAGGAAGTTCTTTATCATGCACTTTTCCATGAAATTGTGGAACTTGCGGGACCTAAAACAAATGATTCAGAGGAATGGAAGAGAATTTTCAGGCCTGCCACATGTCTTTTCATCCCCACCTACAAGCCACTTTGAAGACAATATTTTTGAAAGAGTTGCCTCCAGTTATATTGTCTTTTCAATTAGCAGAGGTCATTTAAGCCTCAGAAAAGAAGCCAGATCAACAACATTCTCTATCCACATGACAGTAGAAATTGGAAAGAATTCAGTAGCATACACATGGTAAAGCCTCATGCAGTGATACGGCAATTAAACAGTTATGATATATAAGTCTGTGATGTTAGATTTGGTCACCCACACAACAGTTATCCTCTGAAGCCTGAATGCTTCATTTATGATGTGCAGTTTTAGCCACAGGGACATAAATACAAAGATTCAAAGGAGGGGGTTTAACTAGGCCATTTTAAAGTGGCCCATGGAAACAGATGTGGTTAGAAATCTTATATTTATGAAGAGAATTCAACTAAATTGCAAGGACAAATGCTAGCAATCAAATCATAGTCATCACATAGAAGGCAAGCAATAAATACTAAGAATAAGCAAGAGTGTAATGAAATCAACAAGAATTTTCAAGTTGGCCTCAGTTGGTCCCTCTAGAAGAATTAGCACTCTGTTTTAGGTTGTGGATATTTAATTTAATTGACTAATGTTCTGTTAATCACAATCACTGCCTATCTAAACACAGTAAGAAAAATCCCCCCAAATTTGTATTGGTCCCTCTCATGTCTTGAGAAGCATCTGAAAAATGCCCATTAATAACAAGGAAGTAATATCTATATCATATCCTTTGGGGGACATTACTTCTTTCTAGCTGGATACTTAGCTCTTGATGAAAATGCTCTTGATGAAAACTGGTAAGTTTCCTGCTGTGATTCCTGGATTATCAGAACTATTTTCCAATAAAATGTGAAGCAGGACTGACCAAATGAATGAAAACTTTGCTATACAAATATATAAAATCAATGTGTTTAAGACAGTGAGATTAAGACATTTATCTTTACCAGCCACTGGATTTGACTGTGGGAGCAGATTCACGCAAAATAACGAAGAGGGCTTCCAAGGGCTGAAGATTACATAGAGCTGTAAAGGGAAATTGATAGGTTTACCAACAATACAAAGCACAACTAGAACACTGTTCACCAAAGAGGTATTGTCTATTCTTCTAGTTAGTCTTCTGAATGAACACTAAGTGATGAAGATGTACATAAGAATGTAAAAAACATAAACACCGCACTAGGTAATATTTTATAACATCACTATTAATGGGTGTGGCAAATAATTTAGATAAAATATTTGAATCCAGGCATCAGTCACCCCAACTCAGTAGGCTAAGATTTGAGGATCATGGTTGAAAACCAGTCCAGGAAAAAAAGTCCGTGAGCCTTTTTTTCCCAATTAACCAGCAAAAAGCCATGCCAGAAGCAGCGGTTTAAGTGGTAGAGGGTCAGCTATGAACAAGAGAGGCAATTAAGAGTGGGGACAGTACCCAGGCCCCAAAATCAAGTCCCAGTACTGACACACAATTTTTTACTGCTTGGTTGATGGATTATATCAGAAAAGTCCATTACAGTTGGACATATTCTTTAATATTTCTGTACGGTTGGCATTTATAAAGTTTTTGTACGGTGGGTATTTATAGGTATAAAATGGCATATGTAACTATAGACTGAAAAAGTCAACCAGTCTAGTAACTATGCACAGTAATTTGTAAAAAAGGGTAATTTAGTAGTCTTGAAAGCTGAGAAGAATCTTTCTTGGGAGCTAAGAGTCCTAGGAAAGAGGTAGATGTAGCATAAGCTACTGCCAGAGTAAACCTGAATTTTAATCCTACCTTTGCTTTATGACCTTGGGTGAATTACTTAACCTATATTGCGCCTCCATTTCTTCATATAAAACACAGAGCCAGCTGGGCACCAATGGCTCATGTCTGTAATCCTAGCTGCTCAGGAAGCTGAGATCTGAGGATCACAGTTCAAAGACAGCCTGGGTAGGAAAGTCCATGAGACACTACTCTCCAATAAACCACTAGAAAACCAGAAGTGATGCTGTGGCTCAAGTGGTAGACCGCTCACCTTGAGCTGAAGAGCTCAGGGACAGCACCTAAGCCCAGAGTTCAAGCCCCACAACCGACAAAAAAAACAAAACAAAAATACACAGAACCATTAAAAAGGTGCTATGACTATTAAAAGCAACCTAACAATAAGAGTTTTGTCATATAGCAGATGTTTAAAAATATTAGTTATTAATCTATACTAAAGATTTTTAACTGACACTTCAAGTCTATGTCAATTTACTACACTTTCATTTTCTTTTTCATCTATATAGGCATTCAAAGAAAGCCAATAACAATGTAAATTCTAACAAACCACATTGCTTTTGGAATTCTAGGGGTTTCTGTAATCATTTAAAATATGTGTCTTATTTCACTTATTTCCCCTTGTGTCATGACTAATGGAAACTGGCAGTAAAAATCTCTACTAGGCAACTATGTAATAAATTTCATTTAATATCCCAAATATATCATTCAAGTGAAGAGAGTTTGATATGAACAAATATTATTTTTGGTGCACATTCATGGACTTGAACCCAGGACATAAGTACTGTTCCAATTTTCAACTAGCTCTCTCACTCATGGCTGTTTTTCTACCACTTGAGCCACTTCTTCCAGCCTGGCTTTTTGTTGATTAATTGGAGATGTATTTCCATGGACTTTTCTTCCTGGATTGGCTTTGAACTGTGCTCCTTCAGATCTCAGCCTCCTGAGAAGCTAGGATTATAGGTATGAACCACTGCCTCCTGACACCAACATTATTTTTATTAGGGTAAAAGAAAGAATGTTGTTTAAAGGTTTTGCTTTGTTCTCAATTACCTGGGTATATCCTCATAGAAGGTGCAGGCTTATAATTGAGCTCAGAATTAACTTCAGTTTCAAAAGACCAGGATCATGTTTGACTCTTATTTCCTTTCCTATGTTTAATCAGTAACAAAATACTCTTCTTTAAACATTATGAGTTTGTACAATACTAAACAGTTGTCATTTATTAACATCTGAGCATCATTCAGTCAACTGACAACATCTTCAGTGGTCACAGAGAATCCAAGTTTTAATTAATGGAAGGGAAAAGGTCATAAGACAGTAAAGAATACAGTGAGCAAAAGCTGAACATCAACTCTAGGTCATTTCCTATATAGGAATATAGGTCTAATTTTAGTAATGCATATAAGTGCCCTTTCTAAACTATATCTCATAATACTGCTTAAATATTCAGAACTAGATGTCTACTCTTTTGAAATAGCCAATCTCTTTTTAAAAACATAACTTTTCAGAGACTGGACACATGTTAAACTGGGTCTTAGTATGAAGTAGTTTAAATAGTGTGATTTATTCCTAAAACATGTTGAGACCTGAGGAAATCTAAATATTGAAGGAATGAATCTTCTGATGGGACAGGGTGCATGAGGCATTTTGGTTAATATTGACAAGAGGTGTGAAAAAGGGATACTACAAGGAATAAAAAAGAGCTCTGAATATGTACGGTCCACAATATTAAAATTAATTCCTATAGTATAAGGAAGAGGGCCACAGTAAGGAAGAAATGGGCTAGATTAAGGTAAATTGACTAGTATAGATAATAAGGATGGGCTGTTGGCCCAATTCTGCTTCTCAATAAAGAAACGTGACATTTATATAAATAACAGAGGGTATGAAATATGTCTCTTCAGCATCCATCAGTGTGTACTATTGGGTATTTGATATCTGCTAGCAAAATATGACCTAAAAGTAATAAAGATTCCCATATTGTTTGAATTTCTACCCAGAACCTAAGGGCTGAAGAAGGTCATGCATGGAAGGACTCTCTTCTTAAAGTTCTTATACTACCCATACATTGAGAAGATATTTTTGTTTTGTTTCTCCAGGACAGATTCACTGAAGAAAGACAAGAGGGAGATAATTTTGTGTCTGAATCTGAAAGGAGAGTATAATGTAACTGTGGCTTTGGAAAACCATCCCCTCTGAGAAGATAATTGTCATAACCTGAGGGGTTGCTAATGTTAATGAAAACCACATTTATGCAAAGTTAAGGGTCCAGACAATAAAATAGACTTGTGAAAGAAAGGGTTTTAATGAAGTCTATGTCCAGTGTTGCTCATGATCAAAGCTTCATTGTTGTAATGACTTATCTAGGCCTTATTTCCTTGTGAGTTCCCAATGTCCTGGGTTTCACTCATCTTTTCAAAGCAGCTTGCTGTTTGCATACTGTGCAAGCTGCCTATCCTGCACCCTTTCTGTGCGTTTGCCCTTCATTCCTTTATGTCCTCCTTTATGATTTGATTTGGTATTTTTATTTTGGGATAAAAAAAGACTTGTGGAGTGCTCAGAAACAATGGGAAAAGATTCATTCATGCATGTTGTATGACCAGTTGATACAGTCATGCATTATAAATAAACACATGTATTGATAGTAGTATGAAATATATTGCACATTTAAAAAGAGAGGAAGAAAGAGCAATGGAGAAAAATAGGAAGTGAAGGAAAGAAGAAAGCAAAAGAGAAGAGGAGAGGGAGAGTCTTGCTGCTCTCTGTGTAGCATATTTTCCAAACAGAAATAATCATATCAGGAATAATTTCTATCTCCTCAGTCTGATTTCAGTTTTACATGGGAAGCTTATGAAATAGTCTTTACATTTTAACATTTTCCAAAATGAATATTCAAAGCCTGAGTGCAAATCCTGGACTTCTTTGCTCAAGGCTAGCGCTTTACCCACTTGATCCACTTATGGATTTTTGGTGGTTAGTTGGAGATAAGAGTCTTAATAGGTTTCCCTGCCCAAGCAGCCTTCAAACATCAATCCACATATCTCAGCTTCCTCAGTAGCTAGGATTACAGGGGTGAGCCACCAGTGCAAGGCCCAACGTGACTTTTTTTCACCCAAAGTAGGGACTTTGCAATTTGGGGCACTAGAGGCAGTAGTAAACGGATCTCCACATCTGTCATAGCTTTATTTCAGCCCCTGTTTGGAATCCCAGGAGACACCAGAAATTTTTAACAATTTTGTTACCATGATTCCTTTGAATTTCCTCCCACTGACCTTGTAACACAATACTAAAGATAGTTCAAGTTTATAAAGCTCAGTGGTAGATGTTATACAGAGAGAACATACAGGAACATGAGGCATCTAAATACTTCGATTTAAATACTGAAAAAAGCAGATGTGAGATAAAATGTGCTATGGAGTCATATATTAGATTGATATCAACCATTTGTACCCAAGTTTCTTTCATTTTTTATTTTCCTACTAGAAAGCAGTGATACAAGAGAAGAGGATGTGATTATGTTGGCTAAATGATGGGGGAGTGGAGAATACAAGAGGAAACAGTTAAGTGCATTGGGGTGGCTGAAGGGCAATGACAAGGAACCAAGTATGTGTTGGTAAGCATTGGAGGATCATCTCAATTATTCTATCACATTAAAGAGTGACTATAGAAGTGGTCCAACCCAAATATTTTACGAGTCAGTATAAACTGGAATGCCTGAAATTCTAGCTGCTAAACACTGAGTCAGGATAATGCTGAGTCAGCTTAAAATAAGGATCAAAGAAAGATAAATGGATAGACTATTTTAAATATCCAAATCTTGTGACTCTTTTAGAGTCACAGCTTTTGGAAATCACTGAAAAGGCCACCGTTTGTGGGACACCTGTATGTCCATTTAAAGCTGATTGGTGCAAGAAGAACTCCTGGCATCTTTCACAGACTCTATTTCCTTAACCCCTTGCACATACCAATCACAAGAAACATTTTTACTTACGAGGAGCCCCTTCTGCCATTTCAATAGCAGTGATTCCCACAGACCAAACATCACTCTACAAAGCAAAAGAATCACAAAATTACTTAAAATGGTGCATTGGCAGCATTAAGAATCTCGTTTCATTATTGATTGATATTATCACAAGTATTATCTGTGCTTAGGACCAATCAGTGTCTTATTATACAGCAGGGTGTTATGGCTCAGTGAAAGAAAAGCACATATTGGATGTATTGTTATTGTTGCCTAACCTGAAATATCAAAAAATGCATTATAAACAAGTCCTAATATATAGATTCACAAGCTGTGTAATTTTAAGCAAATGCTTTTACTCTCTGTACCTCCATTTCTATGTAAATGGAAATTATAATATTTATTTCATAGTTCTAGTGTGCAGTGTGTAATAATATGCATATATGCATCATACACATGTTAAACATACAGAGGTATATTTATTTATATGATAAACATTGATGTACATTACATATATAAATATATATCTATAATTTATAATTATATATATCATGCACACACTTTTTGGCAGCTGCTCAAAAACATAAACTGAGGCTAGAATTATCAACAAGCTCTTCGAAATTACCGTCACCATTATTAACTGCACTTGGTCTTTCAGAGTATAGAAAGAGGGAAGAGGGGAGAGGTACATTGGCTGAATAGCTGTTAATTTTAAGTTTTGGAAATCCAGTTTATAAATAAATCTCTCAGTTTCAGTTTTATAATGGAGATTAAGCTTCCTTTTAGTTACATGGGGATAAAAAAATTAAATAACCAATACAAGTAAAAAAAAACCTTAGTAGGATACAAAACGTATAGGTATAAAGTACTATTTTTACAACAGGACACAAAGAGTGATACACTTCCACAGTTTCTATAGCTCCTAATAAAGTATGGAACATGGAATAGGCCCTGTGTAAATACTTAATTTTTAGTTCTAGAAAGGGCATTTAAGGAAATGGAAGAGATGGAACTTAAATTAATCAACTTCAAATATTGAGTCCTAGGTTCCACACAGGGAGACCACAATGAATTGTTTGGATGACTTATGATGTGGAAAGTGAGTGAGGTTTCTTCCAGTTTATAACAAATGGGGACTTTCCCTTTCCACATTGGCTTTCTGAAATGTGTACATAGATGTATATTGTTGAAATTGCAGCTTCAATGGGAATTTTAATAAATAGCATGGATTATTAATTTATCTATTCCAATGATTTTCTGAGGTTTTAGAAGTGAACCATGAACCAAGGATTTTCTTCATACTCTTGAATTAGTTTTTTTTCTTTTTGAAGCTAAGTTACTATGAAATTTAAAATTGCCTTTACTTTTAATCATTTTTTAAGTTTACAATGCCTTTTGCCCTTGTAAGTTCAGTTTCCAAATAAAGCCATATGATATATTTTTTCCAAGTTGCAAGCAACATGAACTAGACCTTCTATGTCAAATCTGAATAACTCCCAATAGCCTACTTAGTCTACATTTGTTGAAAATATTATTTTAATGCATACTATCAAAACCACAAGTAGGAATAAAGGCTAGGACTATATTTCTTATTAGAGTTAATGCAAAAGTAAGGCTGGTTCCTTTTATTCTTTCACTTTCTCATTAGAATAAATGTCAGTAAAAATCCTTTCCAAATGATTCCCTCTGTTTGAATCTTCACTTACTCTGTAGTCATAGGAACGCCGTGGGTCCTCATCGCAGTTAATCACTTCAGGTGCCATCCAGTATGGTGTCCCAATGAAGCTATTTCTCCTTCCATTAGTTCTGCTCACCTGAGCACTCACTCCAAAATCAACTGCAAAATTCAGCAGATGTCAAAATAATTAATCAAGAACAAAAAGCTCAATAAATTATTGCTTTAACTTGGAAAGCCAATACAAAAGCCACAATGGATAACAGATTTTCATTCCAGCCCAGAACACTTTACCGTGAAGTCTACTCCAGGAATACTGGGAAATAAGCTTGTGCTGCTATTTATGTTGGAATGAGATTCAACAGAGCTATTATAAATCTACAGTTGGTTTGGCTAAATGTTTATCACAAATATTAAAAAGAAAGCTCCATGAGTACATCCTGAATCTCTGAAATGATAACACCAAATTGGAGAAACAGCACTATAAATGGTGTTCAATAAATATAAAACAGTAACAATAAGGAAGTCTGACTCATGACATTAGAACATCCTATCACTTGATGGAGAAAAAAAGTTTTCTTCTAGAATTTAAACTCTTACACAGATTTTTCGGAATCAAAAACCACATATTCACTGTGATACCCATATCTTAGCTTGGAGTATAAAAGTTCAGACTCCTATTCATCTGTGGGATACATTAAAAGATGATGCTTAATATGGTATCCCCAGAAACAGAGAAAAAAGGCTGAAATAGACTGGGGTTATTTATTCCAGAAAAAAATAGGACAAGAATGAAAAATGAAGTAGATTTTCTAATTTAGAATGGTTTCCAGGAATCTAGAGGATGACAAACAAAACTGAATAGCAGATTGAAGAATTTAGAGGAAGTAAAGAAAAGGGAAACAAACCTAATAGTTTAAGGCAGTCTTTCAAGAAAGATTTAGTAAGAACAAAAAATATTAAAAGTTTTGTGAAGATCACCATTATTGTTACAGAATCTCATTGTCAAGTGATTTTTTTTTTAATAAAGAAATGCGATCAAGCAGAGCTCCACATTTCCACTATTCTTAATGGCCAATGTTAAGTGCCAAGAAATGCCTATGAAGGCCATACATAAACTGATGTATAGTATGCATCCAGGAAAGAAAATGGCAGGAGCATAGGCTAGAAAAAATAAGAAGGGGAATGAGAAAGAAAAAGAAAAACTCAAATTACCATAAAAAGGTAGAACTGAAACCTTAACAATGGTATAATCTTTAGTATCTAAGGGACCAGAATATGACAATTATTGATCAATTCTAATCACAATATAAGCATTTCCTCTTTTGCTGTCATTTCTTTTGGCAATCATTAGATTTGCTTTCTGAAATCTTAATCTTTTGCTTAAAAACATGCTAAGATCTGAGAAATCTAAGACAAACTGTATAAACACTACATGTAAACTGGCCTGATTAAATTCTAATGCAAACTGGAACCCTTGTGTACAATGACTTCATGATAATAAGAAAATAAAACGTTTAATTCTGTATGAAGAGGTCTTTCCTCCAAAGTACATTAACTTTAGTGCAGGAGCTTTGTGACAGATAATTCAATGACATTTTGCTTATATTTTCCATATTGTGGTGCAAATGACTGGGTTGGTTATCCACTTGACTCGTGTTAGTTTTTTTTTTTTTGCTCTATATGTGAATATAGTGTGTACTCCATTTGAATCTATGTGTCTCTCATGTATTTGAACATAGTTTCCTAAAATTGTTTTTTTATTGTTGCAGTTTTCAGATACAAAAATAATACAGAATTGCTATCTCATACTTCTACTACATATGTTCAGTGAAAAGTGTTCCCATCAAATTATCAAAATATCTACTGTAAATCTACTTCCTAAGCAAGAAAATGGGAAATATCTTAAGGTCATTCTGAGACATGTTTAAATTGTTAACATGAGTAAAAATAATAAAAATGATTTATGTTCCATACCAGTGTGATTGTCTGCCATTTTACAGTACTAAAATAATTTATTTGGTATTATTTAAAAGTCAAACATCAATGTATATTTTAAATATTTAAAGGTGTATTTAAAGATGTTATTTGTGTACTATATGATAATATGTGAGATAATTTTGCAAAAAAGTGTACGATTTTCACCTTCGGAATAGAAAAGGAAGGACATTCTGGTCTTTGGATTTCTGCTTCTAAATTTGATTTGAATATTATTAGAGCATCATTTATGATTGACATCATTATTTTTAAATATCCAAAGGAAAACTACAAAGAAGAAATTTGTGCTTATGAAGTAATTTAAAAGTTCTTTGATATTCTTGGCAAAATATGGCACTATAATATGTTTAGTTTACGTTGTTCTATTATTTATTATTATTATTCATGCCAGTGCTAGGGTGTGAGTTCAGGACCTGAATGTTGTCCCTGAACTTTTTTGCTCAAGACCAGTGTTCTCTCACTTGAGCCCACAGCTCCACTTCCAGCTTTTTGGTATTAATTGAAGATAAAAGTCTCATGTACTTTGCTTCCTCATTTGGCTTCCAACTATGATCCTTAGAACCTAGCCTTCTGAGTAGCTAGGATTACAGATGTGAGCCACTGGCTGGGCTAGAATTTTGTTTATATTTTAGATTTTAATTCAAATATTTTTATTGCTAAGATCAACAGACAATGAATCTAATAACAATTCTAACAATTCTTTCAAAGTTATAGAAAACCTCTCATAGGATTTTATTTTCTAATTCCTGCCTATGACACAGAAACTTGTACATTTTTAACTCTCAGTTAAATTGTGAAAATACATTTATTAGCTATCTTTAACAGAATACAGAGTCATGATCAAAATGTAACCACCAATTTGAAATTAAAATTTGTTACATATTCCAATTACACATACACACACATATTTATAACTAACTTAGGTTCACTTGTTTTTCTCATCCCACCTTTCTTCTGAACCAAATTTTCACTGATTTTTCAGGCAGCATCTATCTACCTCAAATAAGGGCATTGGCAAGTTCATGATGAAAAAACAAGTTCTCCTAATGTAGGGAGAGCCACTAAGATGCTCCAGGTCCAACTTGACATACTGGAATATACTTACCCAGTTTTACTTCAGCATTATGAGTCAGCAACACATTCTGACCTTTGATGTCCCGGTGAATGACTCGGTGTGCATGAAGATGAGCTAAGCCCTGTGTATGTATAATATACACATGTTAAAGGGATATATATAGAGAGAGAGCAAGTGAGAGAGAATTTCCCTTTTCTGGTACTGATACTTATATTTTTGGAAAAACTCGTGGTAAGAAATATGGCCCACATGTGATTTTTTCAGACAAAATTCTTTAGGCTGGAATGACTACAAGTAGTTCCCAGAAATACTTCTTTTGGCTATAAGAGAAGGAAAATAAATCAGGACACCCATGGAAGAGAAAGAACACCAAGAAGTAACTTTTGTATACATTGGGCCACTTTACCTTCCTTTCTAACCTCCATATTTCCAACTAACTCTAACAGTAAAGACTTGGACATGTTAACTATATCATAGCTCAGCGATGGTTTTTCTCTATTCCTTATCCAACCATCTGTTAAGTCCAACATATTTTCTAGTCAGCCTTGTAGGGTGAGAATTTGAGGGAGTATGGAAATTTATTTTAAAGCATTTGCAATTTGTGTTGGCTTACCACACTGGCTCCAGCCCATTCACTATTAAAACTAACCCATGACTTGGTTAAACTATGACATGGGAAGCAGTATTAGGCTGCAGTGAGATAGCTCCTGACATTAGCTGAGGATTAATAATACAAGTAACAATTTCTAGACATCATGGTAGGTGATTTGAATGCATTAGTTACTAAATTTTTACAGTGATCCTTTGAATAATATATTGATATCCCTTCATATTACACAGGAATTATATTATTATTTTACCTCATTATTACATAATTGACTGAAGTTCATACATCTAATTAATACATGGCAAACGGGAATTTAATTTTTAGTCTAGAATTTCCACTCTTAGCCATTTACAATACTATCTCAAATGAGTTATACCAAATGGGGGAAATGATATCTTAACAATGTTGAATGTTGCTGCCTGTTTCTTTTTTTAAATAAGTTTTTTATTGTGAAAATATTGTACAGTTACAGTCACATGAGCAAGGTAATGAGTACATTTCTTATTATTTCTTATTATACATTGTTGCTTCCACCTTTATTTTTCCCCTACAATCTCTTCCCTCCCACCTCCATAACTACGCTCTCCCCCTCCTCACTCCCTAAATTATAAAGTTCGTTTTACAACATAGTGTCTTCTACATCTCATTGTATCTCTATTTAAACTTTTTGTTTTTATTTCTTTCTATTATTTGTTTTATGTTTGTTTGTTTTATTTGTTTCTACTAATATACTTTTGGGTTGAACTTAAACATTCCAGCCAAAAATCAAATTGGAGTTTGTCAAATCAAGAATATTCTTGCTTTCATCCAATTGTATTTTAGAGATAAGGAAAAATGTGGGTCAGTGTTTACAGAATATATCTATGAGCAAACATGGTTGCAGATGGTTTGGGGCTATTTTGCAGGTTACGCACTCTTAAATTGATCGTGTGTGTGTGTGTGTGTGTGTGTGTGTGTGTGTGTGTGTGATGATTGCACTGTACTTTTTCAAAAGTACTCTAAAATGATCATATAATAATAAATAATTCAAGTGGTCATGTCCATGATCCATTGAACATAGTACTATGAATTGAAAGGCTATATTTTGGGAAGACCTAGCATTACCTTCTTGTTATCTAATTGCAAATTGAAAGGTATCCCAATAAAGCTTTCTCCAAAGCTTTATACCCTTCTAAGTCCCTAATCCAAAGTTCATGTTTAGAATTCTTAATCAGATATAAGATATAAAGTATACTGTCATTTCAAGGTTCTTTCAATATCAGAGGATGATTACATGAAGACCTACCTGAAGGACTTCTCGGCAGATATAAGCAATCCAATCTTCTTTTAAGCTCTGATTTTTTGTCATCCTCACTACATCAGTGACTGAGCCTGCTGCACATAACTCCATCACCATCTGCAAGGAAGCCAGACAAGTATCAAGTATTAGAAAATAAGTCTCTGAAAATATCTGGACATTTTCAGTCCATACAATATGTATTTGTAAATAACGTTTGGGGAAAAGACTAACTTCATTGTCTCCTTAAAGACTAAAAACGACTAGAATTAGTGGCGGAGGAAAGCTTAGTCTTATACCTGGGATATGTAACCAGGAGGAGGGATTTAAGCTAATCCTTGAATCATAGGAGCTATTCAAATATGCTTTGAAGAAGAGTTGGTTTATGGATAACATTGAATACATGTCCTTGCAAAGAAGCTTCACATGGGTCAAGTGTGAGAAATGACTAGAGAGGAAAGGAAAGGTGGTTGGAGAAAAGAGCTTGATCAGAAGTGGAAGAAGTAGGATATAGAAGGTCTCAAAAGAGTTTACATTTCATTATTATGACTAAGCTTGGTTTTTGTTGTTTTATGTTTTCAAATTCCAGATGATTTTCCTCAAAATGTTGGCAAATAACAATAAAAACTCCAAGGGGGAATTGCCATTTAAATTCCTGTAGGATAATTTCTTCCAAATGGGATTATTGTTAAGGAAGGCCTATTTGAAGGGTAACATTGTTCAAAGTATTTCATTTGATTTGATTGCCTATAATCCTAGCTATTCAGGAGGCTGAGATCAGAGGATCCTGGTTCAAAGCCAGCCTGGACAGGAAAGTCTGTGAGATTCCTATCTCCAATTAACCACAAAGATTTAGAGCTGTGGCTCAAGTGGAAGAGACCAACTAGCCTTGAGCAAAAAAGCTGAGATACAGTGCCTAGGCCCTGACCAGGCAAAAGGACCCCAGGACAGGCACAACAAACTGAGGAACCAATTGGTAAAGTTCCTTTCAAATAGTATTAGTTAACTGAAGAAAGTCAACGTGAAGGCAAACACAACTCTTAGAGCTGACCTAGTAAACATCACTGTTCAACTTAAAACTGCTTTCTCAAAAAAGCAAATATAATGTCCTTTTGATCTATTGATATTGAAATAGATCTATTTGAAAAGTATAACATTTCTTTTAGTGTTTTCTTTTCAGAATATTACTCTCCTCAATTAGAGTTGTTTATTACTGATACTGTTATTGCATTTATTTGTACTAAGTACGCTAGTACCAAAAGGAGAGGAGGCAGCCAAACAAAACCAACTATACAGATAACTCACAACAGGCTGATTTTCAGAAGGGCAATTCAGTGATGATTATATTGAATGGACACAACATATACATTGCGGTAATGCAAGTAAAAGAGTTTATGTCCAAATATTTCATTTTAAAAGAAGAATATAATGACCAATGCTCATTTTCTTGCTACTATAGTGGATGACAGCAAAATTTCTGGGTAGGGTCTGGTTAGTTTCTAAAATTTCTATTAATCTGAAATCTGTGATATCCTAGCCATGATGACTAAAGAAAGAATAAAACTAACCATTTAGGAAAGAGCTGCTGGGAGTTGTGTTTATAAAGAAGGCTTACATTTTGAAAACATGTAAAATGAGCCCATATGCTCATGTCAAATGCTAACTAGAATTGATATGTTTTAATTTCCAACAGACAATCTCTATGCCAACAAAATAGTAGCTACTTAAAGTGAAAGGGAGTAAAACTATATTTAAAACACTTTTGTCAGATACTGCCAGTGTCCATTTGACTCTTCATCTCACCAATACACTCTTTTCTAGGCATGTAAGTTATTTTTTTCATATTTTATCACTCACATCTCTAGGAACAGAGTACATTTTACCATACATTGCAGTAGATTTTGCCTTGTGGGATGAATGCTTGAACTTTCTAGCGTCTGAACAAAAGTGATATCTTAGCTCTGAAAATATCAATCTTTGGGTCAGACTTTCCTTATGGAATAAGAAGAGAGTAATTAAAAACATACCCAAAGTTGGTGTCTGTGGCCAGGGGGACTCAGCTTGAAAAATGCTCCATAAAAGGACACAATGTTTTTGTGGAAAGAGTACTTCCTCAGAAGGTTGAGCTCAGTCCTGAGATCCTCCTCCTCGTCCTATGGAATAAAAACAGACAGAAAAACTTCTACACTGGGCATTTCAATGAACCTTGTTCTCTAAACTATGGTAGATTCATAAAGGAACATTCTATGAAAACTCATGTTCTACGGCAATTAATAATAAAATCAATCAATTATAATTTTCAGCTACTCGAGATCTTTGGTTAGTTTGGTATGAGAGTAAAAACGGCAAAATGAAGATCTAATCATATTCTCATTAAATGGAATCATAGTATTTTGTTTGTTTCTGTTTTATTGATATATAATTCACATACAATGTCACTTATTGAAAGTGTAAAATTCAATGTTTAGGATACTTAAAAAGTTTTGTATCATCACAGTCAACTGTAGAACAGGTTTATTACTCTAAATTAAAATGTAATACTTTTAATTATCACCTCCAGTTTTACCATACATATATTCTAGCTCTAATTGACTGCTATATAGAAATCTAGATACCTATTTGTCTGGTAAGGTCTGGAGCCTGATTTGCCCAGTAGGAAATCCTAATTATAGGTTCCCTTTCTAAGTTTGTTGTGAAATAAAGGCATTGATGAAATATGCAACCAACTCATAGTATGGAGATTACACAGAAGATGAGGATTCATTCTCAGCTTCTCAGAGTAGCACAGTTAATAAGTTCCCCTCAAATTCCTTTAATCCATTTTCTGGAAAGTCAAAAGTTTGTTATATGACTTTCCTTTTGTTCTACAAGATCCTTATACTTCCTTCTGTCCTTTGATATTGATCTTTCGAAATGAGTAGCCATTTCTGGCACCATACAGAAATAAACAGCAGTAACTAGTAATTCTTTATGTATTCTTGGTTGTATTAAGATAGCAAAGTTCTACTGAGAGGAATAAAAACTCTTTATAGTGTAATGAATAGATGTTAGATGATGATATAGAACTAAGAATAAACAAAAAACAGTTAACGAGAAGCAGGATCAACATTGCCTTTTAACCTATCAGTTATGTGATGTCAAGAAGATTCTGAAGTGTTACAGTTGTGCTATTGGTTTTCCTTTGAGAAACTTGACTTGCATATTTCTTATATATCTATGTAAGAAAAACGTATTTCCAAGTACTTTTGGCTATTTATTGGTAGGCCTGAGATTTGAGCTCATGTTTCTTAGCTGCCACATTATTTCCATTTTTATAGAGCTCCAGCATCAATGGATGAATGTTTAAGATACACACTTTTTAACCCAAAGGATTCAAGATGGCTTAGAGATGCTAACTGCCTGATTAGCTAGTGCTGATTTTTCTTACTAAAACATATAATCAGAGAATTCAAAGTCCTCGACTAGAAATAACTTCTAAGAGTAGGTTTCCCACATAAATGTAAACTCTCCCAAAACAAACAAACATATATGAGATATATTTAGAAAACATTAGTGTGTTTGCCACTCTCAATTAACAGGAAGTTGAGCTTGTGAGAAACACATAAGTACTTTATATCCACCAGGCCAAGTAGGTAATTTAAAACTCTCACACATCTCACGGTAATATGATACTACAGCACTTCCTGGCTCAGAGCCAGTTGATTCCAGGCTGGCCCAAGTACTCTGCTTTTTGTCAAGAAGAGGCAGCTCAAAGATACCAGAACTCTTTTTGTAATTTCACCCAATTCTACAGTCAAAAACTCTTTTTACTATGGAAAGAATGGCATAAATGCTTTGTGAAAGATCCTTAAAATTCTTTTTTTAATTTGGGGAAATCAGAACTGACCAAATAATTCTATTTTCAGACCTTGTGTTTTATGGCATCTTTATCTACCGAAGTCTATAATAGATGCTTCGTTTTGGATTGCTTTGTCCTCATGACACATTACAAACAAAAAGGAAAGTAGTATGTAATAAATCATGAAGCTATTTAACAATATTGTTTTAGTATAACTAGGAAAATTCTGAATGTTATTGCATAGAATAGAATGGTTTGTTTATACTTTACTTGAGACTGTATTTATTAAGATACAACAGACCTTTGGGCTGAGTAGCTTATTAGTTTTCTGCTATTGCTTTTACAATGAAAAGAGTACTCATAACTTGGCTCATAGGAAATGGCAGTATTTGTTAGAATCATAGTGGGAGAAATGCCATTGAGTCCAGACTAGTAAAGGTCTAAAATGGACTTTCCAAGGCCAATTTTAAGCAAAACTTGTTCTTAGCCCTACAGATGCTTTCTCTGTGGCCACTTACTGAGAGGGCTCAGTACTCTAAATGTACTCAATCCTGCCCCTGTAGTCAAAGCTTTACTGCTCAAAGAACCATTTCTTCTAGTACTTGTTCTTTCACAGATACTAGCACTTACATATGAAGACTGAATCTATGTGAGCATATTGGGAGATATAAGATGTACTAACTTCCAGGCAAGAACCTTTTAGATATGGACTAATGATAAAATGCAAAGAACCAAATTTAAGAAAGGTGATTAATACAAGAGAAGCTACTTGAGTGTTAATGGGGACTTTTTATACTCACACTGTATCTCCATCCAACAGACTTTTGGTACTTATTCACTCTCACCCGCCTTCCTATTTCAGGTAAAGGAGTCTGAAAAATCAAGAACAAAATGGTATGAGGCCCATTAGTATTCTCTGAAAATGATTTATGATTATTTTTCTACCTTTACTACTAAATGGAAAAGTAAGACAATACTGTTCTTGTCTTGATTTTCATTATTTCGACATTATATAGAGAAATGTCACCAAATTAATAGTAATGTATTTAACTGCTTTATTAATAGTGAAATCACATTTCATGAAAGTAAAGTACTATGTTTCAAAAACAAAATCCAATAATTAATATTAACCATCTATGGGATAAATATGGTTTTCATTTTTTAAAAAATTTTCTTCAAATTGTTGTATAAAAGGGTTCAGTTTAACATGTTCATCATTCTCATCCTTCATTGTTCCCCTCCATACTATCCCCTCAAGTTTCCTATGAGCATGCTTTTTAAATATTATGAAAGTAATATTTAAAATGTAATATTCAAACAAGTAATATTTAAAATATATATTAAGTATGGCATTAGATCTTTCAAGCTAAAATGGTGAAAAAATTATTACATATAGTCTCACTTAGAAAACAACAAAAGGCATCTAGGTTGGTTCCATATCTTAGCTATGGTAAATAATGCTGCAATAAATATAATTGTGCTGGTAGCTTTAGTGTGGTCTTGTTTGTGATCATTTGGGTAAACGCTCAAAAGTGGGATTGCTGGGCCATAGGGGAGCTCTATGTGGAGTCTTTTGAGGAACTTCCATACTGCTTTCCAAAGTGGTTGAACAAGTTTACACTCCCACCAACAATGCAGTAAGGTTCCCTTCTGTCTACATCTCCTCCAGCATCTGTTATTAGAGTTCTTGATTTTTGCCATTCTAACTGGGGTGAGGTGGTATCTCAGTGTTGTTTTGATTTGCATTTCTTTTATGGCTAGAGAGAGGTTGAGCATTTCTTCATGTGTCTATTGGCCATCCTTCTTTCCTCTTCAGAGAAGTTTCTTTTCAAGTCTTTAGCCCACTTATTTATGTGGCATATATACACAATGGAATTCTATGCCTCCATCAGAAAGAATGACATTGTCCATTTGTTAGGAAATGGAAAGACTTGGAAAAATTATATTAAGTGAAGTAAGCCAGGCCCAAAGAAACATAGGTCCCATGGTTTCCCTTATTTGCAATAACTAGTATATGTCTGAGTCAAGCAGAAAAGGCCAAATAAGTTGATGTTAGGGAAATGAACCCCAAGATAAGTATTGAAATGTTTTTTTTCTTTCATGTGATTGTTTCTAACATATTTGTAAGATTATTTCTTTGTTGCTTTGTATGTCCCTCCCCCACGGAATAACCTCTGCTTTCACTGTATTTGATGTTGGTATAATTTGTGGAGGGGAAGGGAAAAAGTAAATCGTTTAAATAGAGATTCAGGTGGACCCATTGCAACAATGAGATGTACAAATAATTATGTCGAAAAACAAACTTTACAAGTTTGGTGGAGGGGGAAGGAGGGAGAATTGGGTAGGGGGGCAGGGGGAGGGATGGGAAGGGATCTGAAGGGGAAACAAAGGAGGAGGCAACAATGCTTGATAAGAAATGTACTCATTATCTTGACTATGTAACTGTAATCCCTCTGTACAGTATTTTCACACTATAAAAAAGTAAACAATAAAATATAAAAAAAGAAGGTCTATTATTTGGAAACTATGGTTTGGTAAAGCAAAATAAATCTTTAAAACTCCCAAACCCTTGAAATTTCCACTGGTTTGCACCATTTGATATTTACTGGCAAAACAAAAATCATTTCAACAATTCACTTCCAGCAGAAATTAGAAAATAACAGTTTATGATATTGACAACAGTTCCATGAAATCTATTTTTTCCAACAAAAATTTTCCATTAGGATATAATGAAGTAAAAATTTCCTGAGGTTTACAATATTCATGTTAATATTTTCTTGAGAAAATGAGTTACTCATGCTTAAGAGGACATGAATCAGTATTTAGCAAATCCTATAACAATATGTTTTGAATCATAGCACAATTTTATGACTATTAGCAGGGATAGGGCCAATTCAATATGCATCTCTGATAACGTCTTTCCCTCTAACTGTCATAGAGAATCTAGTGGTCTCAATTCTAAGAAAGAATCATTGGAGGAGGAATACTATTTTGATGCATAAAAATATTAACACACTATTAGTGGAAATAACATTTTTGTTCTCTCCAACAACAAAAAAGTAAACTTCATATAACAAAGAATACAGATATTTTCTCTATTGTTACAGAATACCAAAATATGCAGAACTTTTAGTGTCAGTGAAGTATTTTAAATAGGGAAATATAGTAGTCAATAAATACAATATACTAATAAGTAAAACTATTAGATGATAATTATAATTAATTGAGATAACATAATGAACTCTATAAAACAACGAATTAAAAACAAAGTATTTTGAACTGTTTAATCTCCAAATGACCCTTAAAGAAGTAAAATACAGGCAAAATGTACCATTGCCTTACCTTACGGGCGTTCATCACTTTAACAGCCGTAAATGCGCCAGTCTTTTCATGGAGTCCCTGAAACCAAGAGCAGGGATAAAAGTCAAATGTTAGCTTGTCAATCAACCTGTCTAAAAGAAAATAAAGTAAAAAATCAAACCTAAAATTAAATAAAGTCAAATACAGGCTAGGAAGTTGGCTCATTGGCAGAGCGCTTGCCTGGCATGCATGAGGCTCTGGGTTCGATTCCTCAGCACCACATACGCAGAAAAAAGCTGGAAGTGATGCTGTGGCTCAAGTGGTAGAGCGCTAGCCTTGAGATAAAGAGCTGTGGGAAAGTGCCCAGGCCCAGAGTTCAGGCCCCATGACTGACAAAATATAAAAATAAAAAGTAAATGAAGTCAAATACATAATATACTGCAAACAAAGATTATATACAGAAGAAACATAGGCATATGCCAAAAGGAGAAATATTAAATTATCAACATTTTGAAGAAATCCCATTTCACTAAAAACAAAATTCAAGTTAGCCTTTGGATTTTGATTTTATCTTTGCATTAAGTTGGACATTGCGACCATTTATAGTTATTGCTATTTCAATGTATTCTGTCTAGGAATGGATTGCACCAAAGCCTCCAGATGAAAAGTGTAAATTTTCAATTGACAATAATAAAAAAGGAGGTATTTTGTTTAAATTTTTCATTGTTATCATAAAGTTGATGTACAGAGGGGTTAAAGTTACAAAAAACAGGTAATGAGTACATTTCTTTTTGAACAGTGTTACCACTTCAGTCTTTTTATCTCAGTTTTCCCCTCCCAACTCCACTCCCCAACAAGTGGTATAAGTCATTTCTAGTATCACTGCTGATTTAGTTCACCCTATATCTCACCATTTCTGTGCTTCCCCTTCCTCTCCCCAAATCAGATGATCTTACATACAATAAAAAAGGTACAGACATCAAAAACAGAAACAAAGATGGGAAAATGGAAAAAAAGAACCACAAAAAGTAAAATAAAAAAAACTTCTTGCCGGGTGCTGGTGGCTCACGCCTGTAATCCTAGCTACTCAGGAGGCTGAGATTTGAGGATCACGGTTCAAAGCCAGCCCGGGCAAGAGAGACCGTGAGACTCCTATCTCCAATAAACCACCAGAAAACCGGAAGTGGCGCTGTAGCTCAAGTGGTAAGAGCACTCGCCTTGAGCTGAAGAGCTGAAGGACAGCACCCAGGCCCAGAGTTCAAGCCCCACGACAGACCAAAAAAAAAAAAAAAAACTTCTTGTTTCCATATGTTGGAGTTGATTTCTATATGCGTCATTTTATATGATCATATGCACATAGCTATTGAGGCCTTATAATCCTCTTCTAAGAATATCCTCTTCCAGTCTCACTGTGTGAATGTTTAGAGTCCTGTTTAACTTATCATGTCCAAGAAGAATTTTTTGTCGTTTACTATCCATTGGGTTTACTTGCAGATTTATAGGCACATTCTTATATTACAAATGAGGGAAACTATGCAAACTAATGTTTCTTTGGGTCTGAAGTACTTCCCTTAATATAATAAAAGGAGGTATTTTACCAAACACTTTTTTGAACTGATTATGTAGTACTATGCAAATATCCTTTCACTACACCTACATTCACATGAAATTTTCCATAATTACCATAGAAAGAGTGATTTATCCCTCTCTGGCCAAACTGTGAGGAAAGAAGGATGGCCAATAGACACATGAAGAAATGCTCAACCTCCCTAGCCATAAAAGAAATGCAAATCAAAACAACATTGAGATACCACCTCACCCCAGATAGAATGGCTATATCAAGAACGCTAATAACAACAGATGGTGGAGGGGATGTGGACAGAAGGGAACCTTATTGCATTGTTGGTGGGCGTGTAAACTTGTTCAACCACTTTGGAAACTACTATAGAGGTTCCTCAAAAGACTCCACATAGAGCTCCCCTATGACCCAGCAATCCCACTTTTGGGCATTTACCCAAATGATCACAAACAAGATCACACTAAAGCTACCAGCACAACTATGGTTATTGCAAAATTATTTACCATAGCTAAGATATGGAACCAATCCAGATGCCCCTCAGTAGATGAATGGATCAAGAAAATGTGGTATATATACACAATGGCAAAAAGAATGACATTGCCCCATTTGTTAGGAAATGGAAAGACTTGGAAAAAATTATATTAAGTGAAGTAAGCCAGGCCCAAAGAAACATAGGTCCCATAGTTTTGCTTATTTGCAATAACTAGTATATGTCTGAGACAAAGCATAAATGGTCAGATAAGTTGATGTTAAGTGAAGTGAACCCCAAGGTAAGGACTCAGATGTTTTTTCTTTCTTTCTATTGTTTCTAACATATTTATAAGATATTTCTTTGTTGCTTTGTATGTCCCTCCCCCCACGGTATAACCCCTGTTTTCACTGTATTTGACGTTGGTATAATTTGTGGAGGGGAAAGGAAATAACAATTGTTTAACAGGGATACAGGTGGACCCATTGCACCAATGAGATGTACAAGATGTTATGTCAAAAAATGAACTTTACAATTTTGGCGTGGGGGCTGGAGTGGGGGGTGGGGTGGGATAGGGGGGGTTCGAGATGGGAAGGGATGGGAAGGGGAAACAAAGGAGGAGGCAACAATGCTTGATAAGAAATGCACTCATTACCTTGCCCATGTAATTGTAACCCCTCTGTATGGTATTTTCACAATAAAAAGGAGAGTGATTTATAACTAATATAACAGTGTTTAAACTGTCAATATCTCCTGAATAAGGGAAGTAAAATATTTATAAAAGGAATAAGTTCTGGAAGATTTTTTCTTATTAGAAAAATGATGGCTTTTGCGAAGTTATTTTATCCTAAATGTCAAGTGTAAATTATGGATTTTAAATTTTTAAACTGAGCAATACAGGTTTGACATCAGAGCTTTTATTTTGTTGTTGCTACTTTGTAAACATATTCTAGGTATGTTAATACAAAGTTTTCAGTTCTGTGTTATGATGTTATATTTAAACAAAATGGCTCATTTGGTAGTCCTTTAGCAGAAAATTTTATTGTTTAGCTGTACCAGGTTGAACAATGTCCTACCAACTTCAAGTCCCTGTGGAACTTCAAATTGTGAACTTATGTGGAAATAAATTAGTTACTTGAAGATTTATATCAAGATGAGGTCATCGTGGCTGGCAATCTGTATAGCTTATTTGGATATACATGATCTGCAGTTGATTCTCATTTAAAAATTTCACAAAGTCATTTCTGTTTTATTAGACAACACATCCGAATGTGGATTTTCAAAACTATATTCACTTTTTTACAAAGAAATTATACTTTGTATCTTGGAATCATGTAATGGGCCAAGATACTATTATATATGGTTTGTTAGCAGTTTGGTGAATACAGATACTAGATAATGATGACTTGTTGCTGTGAAGGTACCACTTCCAGGAATTCATCTTAAATTTTAATTTCATTACTTTTGTTCCAGTTCCGGGGCTTGACTCAGAAAGACCTGGGTGCTGTTCCTTAGCTTATTTGCTCAAGGTTAGTGCTCTACCACTTGAGCCACAGCTACACTTCTAGCTTTTGGCTAGTTATCTGAACATAGTCTCAGGGACTTTTCTGCCCAGACTGGCTTCAAAACAGTCCTCAGCATTTTGAGTATCTAAGATTATAGGCACAAGCCACCAGCACCTAGCCTATCATTTCATTTTAACTTTTACTCTGAAATTATTTAAACTTAAAGCATAGTTTCAATGACAGTGTAAAGAATTAGTGTATGTTCTTTAACTAGCTTTCCCTAATGTTAAGCTATTGCAAAACTATGGTACCAGTGTCAAAAATAAGAAATTAATAATGGTACAATGCTCACAATCTAAATTATAGATTTTCTTCTAATTTCCTCACATTTCTCATGAATATTCTCTTTTCAGCTCCCAAACTGTGATATAGCATTCTATCTAACTGTAGTATGTGACAGGTTCTCAGTTTTCCTCTTTTTTTCCATAGCTGTGACATCTTTCAAGAATATTAGTCTGATATTTTGTATAATGCTGCTCAGGCTAGGTTTGGCTGGTGTTTGTAATTATACAGAGTTTAGGGATTTAGGGAAAGGGTATCACAGAGTAGAAATGTGCTTTTGTTATCATATCAGTATTACATGGTAAAAACTATGACTCACCAACTTTGACCACTTTATCAAGGTAATGGCTGTCAGGTTTCTCCACTGCAAAGTCATTGTTTTTCTCTTTCATAATCTACCCATTAGAAGTGACTGACAATGGTTCTAAAAAGGGATTGTAGGGGAAAAACAAAGGAGAAGGTAACAATGCTTGATAGGAAATGTACTCATTACCTTGCTCATGGAACTGTAACCCCTCTGTACAGTATTTTTATAATAAAAATCTTATTAAAAGGGAAACAGTATTCTTCTAATAGTTAATTTATTATTTAATCTTCAAGTAGTTATACAAAGTGATTTGGATTGAACTTGTTAATTTATTAGTACAAGTATCTTAATGTCACTTCTTCAACAGTTATCTTGAGACTTCAAATTGTTCAGTAGTGCCACCTTGTGGTTCCCAGAATATATAGAAGGTATTTTGTGATCTTAGATGAAGGCCATTGTCATAAACAGATTGTCTCTCTAAATGGTATGTTCAACTAGGACACATAAATCCAGTTTTTAGGGTGTGCCTTTTATTTCAGTTACAAGTGTGTTTTATGCAAAATTAAGTTAAAATATTTAGTGTAAACACACAGAATGCAAAGGACACAGAATGCTAAAAAAGAGTATGGTTTTAGATTCTAAATTAATTGGAGGCTGAGATCTGGAGGATTATGTTTCTATCCTAGCCTGGGCAGAAAAATTTGCAACACCCTACCTCAAAAGAATCAGCGAAAACATTTGAATCCTTATCTTGGGGTTCATTTTGCTTAACATCAACTTATCTGACCATTTCTGCTTGTCCCAGACATATACTAGTTATTGCAAATAAGGAAAACCATGGGAGGACTCAAATGTTTTTTTCTTTCTTGCTAACATATTTATAATATATTTCTTTGT